TCCTCCCAGCAGCACCTGCCCCAAACCCTGCTGTGCTCTGGCCTCTTTTTAAGCCCCAGGAAAAGGGATTTGGGGAGATAAATCAAACTCTCTGCCCTACAGATCCAATCCTGACGTGCTTCACTCAACATCCCAGCTGAACCCTGACTCATCTGCATTTACTGGCATGTAACTCCCTCCTTGTTTACACATCACTCAGTAAAGAGAGAGAGCTGTAGAAATTATTTCTTACAGTACAGCTCAAAAATAATAAGGCAAAAGAGACTCAAAAGAGAGACAGAAGCAGAAAGAGTAATCAAAGGCACAGACAGATGCAGCAGCAGGAACATATTTTTTTCTTCTCAAGTGTGAAGGAAAGTAAGGGACTTGCTGCAGTAAGTAAGAACCCACACAGCTGCTCTCCTGTCTCACACTGAGTGCAGCACAGAGCAGGGTCTGTGAGCAAAAACCACACTTGGTGCTCCTCACAGAACAAACATTGCCACAGATTTGCTGAAATGGGCAACACAGAAAAAGCCTGAAGGGATGGCATGAGAATCCAGAGGCTGACCAAAGGCAGAGTCCTGCATATAGCACAGCTGGATACACCATCCCTCCCTCAGCACCGAGGGGACAGGAGGCACCCTCACCTCTTCTTTGGACTTTTTGGACCTGTCATCATCTTTCCTGGTCTTCTTTAATGCATCTGTGCCGACCACTGAGAGGATGTTCCTTAACCTGGGAGGGAAATCATGAAGCTCCATTTAGTCAGGAAATTCTCAGCTGTCCTAACAAATATCACTGTGAGATTCCCTCTGCCTTGGGGTCCTTAGAACAGAAATCCCACACTGGTTTGGGGTGGGAGGGACTCTAAAGCCCACCCAGTGCCACCCCTGCCATGGCAGGGACACCTCCCACTGTCCCAGGCTGCTCCCAGCCCTGTCCAGCCTGGCCTTGGGCACTGCCAGGGATGGAGCAGCCCCTGGACATTGAGAATTTTGCCTGAAGGCCAAAGCACAAAAGTAAAATGCCACATGAAATTGCTGAAATCAGGCAATGTTGGGTTTTATATATAAATAAAAGGGAGGGGTATATTTTAAAAAAGCTTTAGAACACGGAGCTTTTCCTGGGCACTGCCAGGGATCCAGGGGCAGCCACAGCTGCTCTGGGCACCCTGTGCCAGGGCCTGCCCACCCTCACAGGGAACAATTCCCAATTCCCAATATCCCATCCAGCCCTGCCCTCTGGCAGTGGGAGCCATTCCCTGTGTCCTGTCCCTCCATCCCTTGTCCCCAGTCCCTCTCCTGTCGCAGACATTTTTTCACAGAAATCTTTTCTTTCAGATTTCTGCGTCTTCTGGGAGGCAGAGGCCCCAGAAGAGAATGTAAACAATTGTTATCAGCTGCTGTAAAATGCAATAAGATGCACCTGTGATTAGTTCGTATTTCATGTGTACCATTAAGAGCCAATCCCAAAGCAAGCTCTCTAGAACACAGAGACAGAAAATTCTCTTGTTCAAAAATTCTTTCTATTCTATTCTTAGCTTAGCAGCCTCTGCAACTTCTCTCTTTATTCTATTAGTATAGTTATAATGTATTATATATCATATATCAATAAATCCAGCCTTCTAATCAAGAAACAAGATTCTCGTCTTTCTCTCACCCCCAGCGACCCACTCAAGTCACTGTAAGAGTTGGGTTTTATATATAAATAAAAGGGAGGGGTATATTTTAAAAAGCTTTAGAACCCAGAGCTTTTCCTGGACACTGCCAGGAATCCAGGGGCAGCCCCAACTGTGCCAGGGCCTGCCCACCCTGCCAGGGAACAATTCCCAATTCCCAATATCCCACCCAGCCCTGCCCTCTGGCAGTGGGAGCCATTCCCCGTGTCCTGTCCCTCCATCCCTTGTCCCCAGTTCCTCTCCAGCTCTCCTGGAGCCCCTTCAGGCACTGGCAGAGGCTCTGAGCTCTCTCTGGAGCTTCCCCTTCCCCAGACTGAGCCCCCCCAGCTCTCGCAGCTGCCCTGTGGCGCAGGGCTGTGTGCAGCCCAGCCGCCAGGAGGAGCTCTGTGCTCTGCCAGCCGTCCCCCCCACCCTGTGCAGGCCCAGCACCTCTCCCTGCGCTCCGCAGGGCCCTCTCCGAAGAGCGTGATGGGCTCCCCCAGGGCCCTCAGGCACGCCTTGACCTCGCAGTCATCCGTGGACACGTTGATCTGCCGCGCGCGCTTGCGCCGCTCGAACTCCGCCAGCACCTCGGCCTGCCGCTCGCTCATGTGGTCCTCGAGGTCAAACACCTCCCCTGGGCACACACACACAGGGCCTCAGCACACGCAGCCAGCACGGCCCAGGGCACAGCTGGGGCTGCCAGGGGTCTCTGCAGGGCACCCAGAGCGTCCCCTGCCCCGGCAGGGCCACCCGCAGCAGGGACACGGGAGGGGTTGGGATGTGACCAGAGAGGGACACGGCACACCCGCCTCAGCTCTCCCAGAGCTCCTCAGCCCCTGAATCCCTCCCTCAGTGGTCCCAGAGCCCCTGGATCCCTCCCTCAGCCCCTGGATCCCTCCCTCAGCTCTTCCAGAGCCCCTGGATCCTTCCCTCAGGTCTCCCAAAGCCCCTCTGCCCTTGGTTCCCTCCCTCAGCCCTCCCAGAGCCCCTGGACCCCTCCCTCAGCTGTCCCTCAGCCCCTGGATGCCTCTCTCAGCTCTCCCAGAGCCCTGGACCCCAGAGCCTCCCTCAGCTCTCCCAGCGCCCCTGGATCCCTCCCTCAGCTCTCCCAGAGCTCCTCAACCCCTGGATCCCTCCCTCAGTGGTCCCAGAGCCCCTCTGCCCTTGGATCCCTTGCTCAACTGTCCCAGAGCCCCTGGACCCCTCCCTCAGCTCTCTCAGAGTTCTGGATCCCTCCCTCAGCTCTCCCAAAGCCCCTTTGCCCCTGAATCCCTCCCCCAGCTCTCCCAGAGCCTCTCAGCAGCTGGATCCCTCCCCCAGAGCCCCTGGACCCCTCTCCCTCAGTTTCTGGATCCCTCCCTCAGCTCTCTCAAAGCCCCTCTGCCCATGGATCCCTCCCAGAGCCCCTGGATCCCTCCCTCAGCTGTCCCAGATCCCCCTGCCCTGGATCCCTCAGGAATTGGAAGATCCAAGCACGGAGCTGCCCACCCCTGAGTGTTTTGAGGTGATGCCCACAGAGACATTTGGAAATGTCACACCTGCAGGGAGGGATAACAAGGGACGTTTGCACGTGCTCACCAGTGCTGATGTTGATGTTGCCAGCCTCCATGGCTGCCTTCATGCCCTCCTTGCCCAGCAGCCCGGCCTCGCCCTTGGCCAGGCGCTCGCGCTCCTTCTCCTCCAGGCTCCCGTAGAAGATGGGTGCCCGCTTGGCCGGGGGAGCCTCGGCCTCCTCGGCAGCCTTGGCCTTGGGGGGCTGCAGGGGCAAACAGGGGGGCACAGAGTGAGGGACAGACACATAGAGCATGGGGACAGACACACGGAGTGTGGGGACAGACACACGGCAAACAGCCTGCCTGTGGCAGGAGAACGGGGCTGTGTCGCAGATGTTTTTTCACAGAAATCCTTTCTTTGGGGTTGTGCATCTTCTGGGAAGCAAAGGGCTCCAGAAAGAGAATGTAAACAATTGTTATCAGCTGCTGTGACATGCAATAGGATGCACCTGTGATTGGTTCATGTTCCCATGTTTATAATTAAGGGCCAATCACAGGAGCAAGCTGGGGACAGAGTCCCTGGACACAACTTTGTTAGAGATTCTTTTCTTTCTATCCTTAGCTTAGCTAGCATCTGCAACTGCTCTCTTTATTCCTATTAGTATAGGAATAATGTATTATATATCATATATCAATAAATCCAGCCTTCTGATCAAGAAACAAGATTCTCGTCTTTCTCTCACCACCCCAGCGACCCACTCAGGACGCTGTAATAGGGCTGGGCAAACACCTCTCAGAATCCCAGCCCGGTTTGGGTTTAAGGGCACTGAAGCCCATCCAGTGCCAGCCCTGCCATGGCAGGGACACCTCCCACTGTGCCAAGCTGCTCCCAGCTCTGTCCAGCCTGGCCTTGGGCACTGCCAGGGATGGAGCTGCCACTGGACATTGAGGTTTTTGCCTGAAGACCAAAGCACAAATGTAAAACCCAACATTAAATCGGTGAAATCAGGCAATGTTGGGCCCCTTTTATTTATTATCTGCAGAGGTATTTTTGGAGCAAGCTTTAGAGCACGGAGCTTTTCCTCCTCCTGCACCAGCACAGCCAGGAGCGATGCCATACCCCAGCTCCAGCTGCAGCTCCCTCCCTGGAATGGCGGGGAGTGAGCGGTGCCCGGCTCCGTCCCCCCGGAGAGGCCTCGCACGAACCGCCCGGGAGAGCGACCAGGACTGGGCACGAGTGCAGGGAAACACAGGAGCCTGCGGGCTCCTTTAGAGCTCCGCTATTGTCACCGGAGCACCGTAAACCCCGCACAGCAACAGCAGCCGCGACCGCCGCGGCCTCTCCCGCTCCTGCGGGCCCGGAGCCGCCCCCATCTCCCGGACACTCACCTCGGGGGGCCGGGCCCCGCCGCGAGCCGCCGGTGCCCGCGCGGTGGCCATGGCGGGAACGGGACCGGGACCAGGAACGGATAAGAAGCCTGGAAGGGGAGCGGGAACGGGAACCAGAGAGCGGGAACGGGGCGATACGCGCGGCGCTGACTCCGGCGCCTCACGGCGACTTCCGGGTCGCGCAGGGCACGCCGGGAAGTGTAGTGCCCGCTGAGGGCGGGACGCGCGGGGCACGCCGGGAGATGCAGTGTCCGCTAAGGGCGACACGCGCGGGGCATACTGGGAGTTGGAGTGCTGCTAAGGGCGGTACGCGCGGGGCACGCCGGGAGTTGGAGTGCTCGCTAATGGCCGTACGCGCGAGGCACGCTGGGAGATGCAGTACCCGCTGAGGGCGGTTCGCGCGGGGCACGCCGGGAGATGTGGTGCCCGCTGAGGGCGGTTCGCGCGGGGCACGCCGGGAGTTGTGGCGGGCCGGGCGGGGCCCGCTGAGGGCGGGAGCGCTCGGTCGTGCCGCCAGTTTTGGTGCCGCCGGTCGCGATGCTCCGTCGGAAGCCGACGCGGCTGGAGCTGAAGCTGGACGACATCGAGGAGTTCGAGAGCGTCCGGAAGGAGCTGGAGGTGCGCGCGGGGCCGGGCGCAGGGGGCTCGGCCCGCCCCCGGCCCTGACCGGCCCGTTCGCCCGCAGAGCCGCAGGAAGCAGCGCGACGAGGCGGAGGCGGCGGCGGGCGGAGAGGAGGCGGCGGCGATCGGAGCGCTGGGCACGGAGCACAAGAGCCGCGAGCAGCTCATCCATGAACGCATCGGGTACAAACCGCAGCCCAAGGCCGGCGGCCGCACCGCGCACTTCGGCACCTTCGAGTTCTGAGCGGGAACCCCCGGCAGCCCCGGAGCCCCCGGCAGCCCCGGGAACCCTCGGCAGCCCCGGCCGCCTCAGTCGGGCGGGCCGCGCCGGGCGGGCCTCGCTATCTCCTCTCCGAGCTGTTACATTTTTGTTTTTTAAGTTTGGTTAACACGGCCGTGAACGCCCCTTTGCCGAGTGTTTTGTTTTAAATAAACACTTATTTTTTATAATAAAGTGATGATAATTCCACGAGTTGCTGTAAACGGCTGCAGTGACCGGTGGGGGTGGAAACACCCGGACCCCCCGTTCCGTGCTGTGAGCAAGGGGATAAACTCTGAGGGAGGGAAAGTGATCTGGTGATCTTAAACCAGACTGGAGTGGCCACCTGAACCTCCCCAGATAATCAATCTTAAAATTATTTAATGTTAGATCTAGGCAAACCTACAGGTTTCTCTTGCTTTTCTTTCTCCCCCTCCATTTTTCTAGTAATTTGTATTTCATAGAGCTCACCCATGAGCTGGTTCATAGAATTGTTTGCAACAGCATTTGGTGTTAAAATTAGAAGTGTCTGAAAGGCGATCTCGATTTTAGAACTTATTTCTTCTTTTCCTTCTATTATTTCGTCTCTATTCTGCTAAATGCATCAGAAAAATGTAAAGAACTCTTGAAAACACAAATCTTTAAATGATAACAAACACCAGTTTTTCAAGTTGCTTTCAGTTTCATTCACATGTCTGCTCACATTAGGCTCATGTGGATAGCACACACATACACATAATCCCCCTTAATAATTTTTAATCTTTTGAATCATCTCTGCATCTTATCATTGTGGGAAGTTTGTCAAATCTGTTTTAGCTCAAAGTTGTTTGTATCTACATGGCAATCTGGCTGTTGCTCTTTGTATTTTTTTTACTATTTTTGGGAACAATCCTTTTGCTGCAACATCAAAAGTACTGGGGTGTGACAGTGTTCACAGGGATCCAAGGATGAGGGAAGAGATGAGGATCTGACTCCATCTTTCAGAAGGCTGATTTATTATTTTATGATATATATTATATTAAAACTATACTAAAAGAATAGAAGAAAGGATTTCATCAGAAGGCTAGCTAAGAATAGAAAAAGAAAGAATGATCACAAAGGTTTGTGGTTCGGACAGAGAGTCTGAGCCAGCTGACTGTGATTGGCCATTAATTAGAAACAACCACATGAGACCAATCCCAGATGCGCCTGTTGCATTCCACAGCAGCAGATAACCATTGTTTACATTTTGTTCCTGAGGCCTCCCAGCTTCTCAGGAGGAAAAATCCTAAGGAAAGGATTTTTCAGAAAACATCATGGCTACACTGGGGTTGAAATAGATATTGGCCCATAACCAGCAAGCTTTATTTCAGTCAAATCCTAAGGGAAATAGACACAACAGACACCCTACCCTGGTGGCCCCACTGAGGAGAAGGTGCTGAAGTGTCTGGTGAGTGCTTTGGGATAAAGGTGCCACAGCTCTGGGTGCCAGATCCCGAATACATCCCAGAGCTGCTGCAGTGTCACCTGGGCCCTGGGCAGGGAGTGCCTGCAGGCCTGGATCACGGGCTGGCCTCATGCATGGGGAGGGATAGCCTGTCACAGACATTTTTTCATAGAAATTCTTTCTTTGGGACTTGTTCATCTTCTGGGAAGCTGAGGCCCCAGAAAGAGAATGTAAACAATTGTTATCAGCTGCTGTGAATGCAATAGGATGCACCTGGGATTGGTTCATGTTCCATGTGTACAATTAAGGGCCAATCACAGGAGCAAGCTCAGGGAAAAATTCCCTGGACTCAGAACTTTGTTATAGATTCTTTTCTATGCTATTCTATTCTTAGGTTAGCAGCATCTGCAACTTCTCTTCTTATTCTCTTTAGTATGGTTATAATGTATTTTATATCATATATCAATAAATCCAGCCTTCTGATCATGAAACAAGATTCTCATCCTTCTCTCACCATGGAGACCTTCTTCAGGTTGCTGTAATAATAGCCCATTCTCTGAGCAGCTTTTCCTTTACACTTCCCTGCTCCACCTCCATCCAGCTCTGCCCAGTGTCCCCCAGCTGCCCTGGTTTGTCACCCCTGGAGTGGAGCTCAGGGCTCTTTGCTGCTTGGAGCAAAGGCCACCAAACAGTTCCTTGTGGCTGGTGGCACCTGAAAGGCCAAGGGCACGGGGATTTCTTCAGCAGGTGCCTGGATTTACCCTCCTCAGGTGCTGGGCACGGTGAGGTCAGATTGATTTAGGTTTTGATTTGATTTAGGTGAGGTTTGGGGCAGAGCCCGCTCAGGAGGGGTCTGGCACACACTGGGGTGAGCTGAAGGAAGCAATTTAAAATCCTGAGCAGTTTCTTAGGGCAGGCTGCCACAGCCCTGGGCCTGAATTCAGGAGCTGGAGGCTCCCCTGCCCCTGGCCAGGGCTGTTTCCAACCATCTCCAGCACAATGACCAGGGCTGGTTTTTCAGCATTCCTCCAAAGCAGACTTCAGTTAAATTCAGGCTTTCCATGTTGTAGGTGCATCAAATTCCAGGTCAGGCTGGGGAAATGTACAGAACTTCAAACTTTTCCAACTGGAAAGAGCCCCAGGCTGGCCTAGCAAAGAGCTGCATTTGGTCTAACATCACTTACAATGATCAGGGGCTGCTCTGCTGGGCTGCCATGCCAGCTCTGAGGGGACACCTCAGAGGTTGTTACAGCTCCATAAAACCCCTCTCCAGGGCAGGCAGATCTGGGAGGCACCAATTCCTCTTCCCATCCCTCCCCACAAAGTGTGACTGAGCAGGAACAAAGAGATTTCTCAGTGAATCCCCATTGCAGCAGCTCCAGGGAGCTGGGGAGGCCCAGGGGATGCTGCTCCTCACCCACCCCCAGCACCTGAACAGGAACTCTGGGCCCTGATGCTCCCTCCCAGGGTTGCACCAAGGACTGTTCCCAAAATACAGCCCCACCAGAGTAAAATGCAATCTATTTTATTGGTTAATTATGTACAGGAGATTCTTGATATTCACAGTAACATCAGACAAGTTACCGCCACAAAGAGCATGAATAAAAACAAAACTGACAGTCCACTGTAAACAAAACTAGAAATCCTGCTGGATTGGGTGGGACTGGCTCCAGATAAACTCAAAAGGCACTCAAAGAAAAGCAACAAGAGCCCTCTGAGGGACAGGGCCGGCTGCTCTGAGCTCCCTCCTCGGTGGCACTGCGGAGGCACAGCGTGTGCAGGGCACAGAGACGGGCACAGGGTGTCACCCCCGAGCAGGACAGACACCCGAGCAGGACGCGTGTGTCATCCTTGGAGCCCTCCCCGTGCTGCCAGGACAAACCTGAACTCAGCAGAGGGGCTGGGGCTGCCCCAGAGCTGCCGATCCCGCCAGAGGGAGCTCAGGCTTTGCTCAGGCTTTGCTCAGGCTGTGCCACAGCACGCAGCAGCCCGGCTGAGGACACACCGTGCTGCCATGGTGGCAGAGGAGGCCGGCACAGGGAGGCCGATGGCTGCTCTGGATTGTCACACTGAACTGGGAAAGCACAGCCATGGCAGGAGGAGCAGCCCTTCCCCAGCTGAGCCCCAGGAGCTGAGAGCAGAGGGGACACAGCACAGGGGACACAGCCTCAGCACAGGGGACACAGCCTCAGCACAGGGGACACAGCACAGGGGACACAGCCTCACCTGCCCTCCTCAGCCACCTCCCCTCTCACCTTCCCAAACCTCCCCTCGTGCAGCCTGTGGGAGCAGCTGGGGCACCTGAGAGCCTTGTGCCCTGCCAGGGCAGTGTCCCCTCCCTGTGCCTGCTGCAGACAGCTCTGTGCCCTCTCTGGGACAGCACGGGCAGAAGAGAAGCTCATTCTGGGGGAAACAATTCCAGGGCACAGGTGGTACAAACAGAAAAGCTTAACAAGAACCAGACTGACACTGAAGAGCCACAGCCTGATCTCCAAATCATCCCTCAGAGAATTCAAGTCTGGCCACTTGGATGCACAGAAAAGTGGCTAAAAGGTGACAGCGAGATCAGGCCAAGCAGCTTCTGTTCCAAAGAAAGACACAGCAAGAGGTATATGAGGTGACCAGTGCCACCACACAGCCACTCCTCACTCCAGCCTGTCATTGTGATGGCAACAATTGCAGCCCCTTCCAGAAAAAACAATGGCAACCCTGAGCTCCTCCAGGGGTGCAAACCTCCCCCATCAACCACTACCTCCAGCTTTTAACAGCTCCAGTTCTCTCTGACCAACACTCAGATTTCCTCTCAGCTCCAGCAGCAGTGGGAAGGGATTGTCCATTTTCTCTGTCCAACACTAACATTCCTCCCAGCTCTCCAGGGATGGGGAGGGTGAGGTTTCCCCTCCCATGATTACCTGGAGGGCACAGCAAAGTTTTACCTTTGTGACAGGTGCAGGGAGGGCACCAGGGGGTTCTGTCACAGACAGAATCCCTTCAAAGACCAGACTGGGGAAGGAAGCACTTTAGCACTTTTCCTGTCTCTCACCAGGAGGTGGCTAGAACTTTTCCATGAAAAGAACTTTGCCTCTCTCACCCAGATGTGAATTTGCTACAGAAAGCAGCTACATAGGAACCTAAGCCTGCTTTTAACTCAGTTCCTTTTATTCTCTAGTTGCACTGTCCAGAGAAAACAAGATGTCCAAATAAACACTTGGCATCAGCCCAGGAGGGCTCTCAGGAGGTGCAGTTCAAGCCCTGGTAGCAGCAGTTGTGATTTCCTTACAGAGGGTGGGCTCTGGGCAGGGACAGCAGCACCAGCACCATGGAGCACCAGGTACACAGGGATGGCCTCACCCTCTAAGGCTCAGGGGCTAAAAAATCATTCCAAAGATCAGTTTTCCTCACACAGCTGCTGCCACAAGTCACTAGCAGCATCTTCAGGGGAAAAAACCCTTCCTGTGTGTGCCCAGAGGCTTTATCCAGCAGGGTTCCCTGTTCTCATGGCCTGTCCCAGACACCAGCCCCAGCCTGACAGTGCTGCCTGTTCTCAGTGCCCTTCCCAAATTCCCACTGTCTTCCCTCCCAGCCAGTTCCAGGCACAAACTGGGAAACCTGGGCAGAGGGAAGACCCCAGCTTTGCACCACCACCTCCAGCTCTGCACAAACTTTTTAACATCCAGGTGCTAAACCAGGGCTGCTCCCCAAGCCTGGCCAGGCAGGAGGATGGTTCTGCCCCCTCACAGCCTGGGCACAGCCCACAGCACTGACTGAGTTCCCTCACTGCACTGAGAACCTGCACCTCCAGCATGGGCACACTGTGATTATCCAGACAAAGAGGAGTCATCTGGGTCAGGAATAGTTTTTGATTAGCCCATGCTGCTCCAAATTTCACCTGAGAAGACACTGAAGGCTGCTTTAGTCCTGTGTTTTCCTTCTCCTCTTCCCCAAATCTCTCCTTTACAGGAATGTGGCTGTTTTCCCTCTTCACCTCCAGCCAGGAATACCCTCCAGCCATTTTCACTTTAGTGTCATGAAATCATTATTTAGCTCTTGCCTCATTCACAGAACCAGTTCTAGTAACCCAAAGCTTGGCCCTAGTTCCATCCAGATGCAGCTCCACATGAAGTACCTGTGGGTTCAATGGTTTATTGGGAATCTTTCTGCCCTGTAAATACAGAACCATTATCTGTTCATAACTGGCAAGGGAAAGCAGCCCAACTCAAATGTTCTCCCTGGGGGCTGAGTAAAGCTGCTGGATACATCAGATTGACAACACTCATCATCTCTGGGGGGGCTTGGAGGGCAATTTCATCCAATCCCTGAAGCACACAGCTCACATCCTTGGGTCAAAGTCCTCCCTTGCCAGGACACACCTGAGCGTGTCTGATGTGCAGCACCAAATCTTCCTCTGAGGCTGAGTCCTACAGCAAAAGGTGTCATTGGCCCCAAAAGCCACAATGCCAGGGCAATCTCCTCCCCTGGCATTATGTACACATTGAAAAAAAAATCAAAATTAAAACAGCCATTCACACATTATTGGCAACTGATCTTTTCCTACTGTTCATTAAACCCTCACTGATGAGCATTTACAATTTAAAAATAAAATGGTTTTGTTTTCCTTTTAAAATAATTTCTACAGTTCTGTCAGCCAACTAATTTCAATCACAGCATAATCTAAGAATAAAGCAAATCCTGGCCAGGAATGGCTGCCATGGACTCTCAGGAGTCAAGGGGAGCAGCGTGTCCCAGCTCCTCACATCCCTGCACCCCTCCAGGAACCTGTAGTGAACTCCAGTTGATTTTCTTTATCATGATTCTCTTGGCAGCTTAGGAATGCTCCAGTCCTCGTGTGGCTGCACTGGCAGGGAGCAGAGGGGTGGAGAGGCACCCCCAGTGCTAGTGGCAGTGCTCTGTGATGTCCACCACCACTGCCTTCTTCCAGCTGAAGAAGAAGTACCCGGTGCCCGCTCCGGCGGCCACGGCGATGCACAGGTACCCGTTGTAGGTCATGAAGATGAGCATGAGGAAGTAGCTGACCACCACCTGGATGATGTGCAGCACAGTCTGCAGCAGGTGGGGCAAGCTCAGCATCTGCTGCCTGGGAACACAAACCCAAACAAGTCAGCAAAAGGAACAGGTGGGAAATGCTCATCCCCAAAGAGAAAGCGGCCAGGGCAGCAAGGAGGGCGTGGGGTGGCACAGAAGGTGACACCAGCCTGGGCAGGGACTCCTGGCACCTGGAGCTGTGGTTTTGCATGCAGCTTGCTGGGAGGACACAACTTTAGCTGAGAAACAGACTTTGCCAAGCTTCTTTTACCCCCCCCCCCCTTCAAAAGCTGACTGGCTCCTGTTCTGCACACAACTACCTGTCCACAAAAGGACCCTGAGTGTTTTCTGTCACGGTCACTGGATGTAACATCCAAGCTCTGTTCCTCAGAACTCCCCCAGATGTGTTCATTACAAAAACCCCAAGCCCATCTGGCTCCTTCCTGCTTTCCTCCTTTTTCCCTCATCCTTGAGGGTGCCCAGATGTCCCCCATCCTCCAGCGCCACACAGCACCCCAGTCTGGAGCCAGGACGCTCTCCAGAGATCAAAACTGGCTGCACAAAGCTCCTTCTGTGCCAGTTCCACTGCAGAGCTCTGCTTTAGGATGAAGGGCAGCCCTTACCCCACAGTTTTGTGAGTCTCCATCAGGATGGTGCCGTTGGGGCCGGGCACTGGCATGGAGTTGTAGCGGATGCTGACTTGGGATTTCCGGAGCAGACACTCCCGGGCGATCTTCAGCCCTTCATAGAACATGGCCAGGAAGAAGACAGCCACAAAAGCACCAGCCATTTCTGACAAGAGAGGAAACACCACTGTCTCTGGGCAGGAGAATGCCAGCAGAGCCACTGTGTGATTGAACCCCACTGTGCTGCACAGGCCACAGCCAGGCTCCGTGTGCAGGCACAGAGTGGTGGGAAATGGGAATTTCATCCACACTCTCACTGCAATTCCACCCATAAAGCAAAAGCAGCAATCACTTTTGCTAATAAAACCAAATTCTTGAACTCTAAAAATACCTCCATTTTTCTTTCACCCCACAGATGTCATTTTAACCAGATTCAGCACAGCATGTCCACAGACTTTTAGCACAAGTAACAAAGTAATTCCTGAAACACTGATCCTGAAACACCAACTGCAAACCTTTTGTTTGGACTGCACAAGACAGTGTTACTAACCTCCAGGGGAATTGATTGTAAGTCCAGAGAACAGCAATGGCACATTCTCACAGCTGAAGTGGAAAGTCATGGCCTGCCCAAAACACAAAGAACACCAAGATGAGCCTGAAGAGCTCATCCAAGGAGCTTCAAGCAAGGTGTGACAGTGGGGTTTGTATCAGAACAAGAACTCAGATCTGTTTGGTCACCACCTAAACTCCAAGGAACTCTGCAGCAGATCTGGTGTGACACACACAAGTGAGACAGGGATGAGATGCTCCAGGCTCCAGTTCCAGCTCCTCAGGCAGCCCTGGGCAGGGGGCCCTGTCCTTCACAGGACTCCAGGGAAGAGCCTTCTCCTTGCCTTTGGAGCTCCTTTTCCCTCAGCATCAGCAGTGCTCAGGGACTGGGGATGTCTCCATGGAGCTCCTCCTTGGCTCCCCATCCCCTCAGGAACTGGGTACAGGGCACTTTCCCCTCCCCACTTGGACCTTGTCTGGATGATACAGGTGAGGGTTGCACAGGTGAGTCCTCTGGTCCCCTCCTGCACTGTGCCAGTTGTTGTCTCCCTATGGAATTCCCAATATCCTGAGGCAAACAGAGGGCTAAGCAGCTACACAAGGAGCTAAAGCCACTTCACAGCTGCCCCTGGGTGAAAACAAGGGCTCCTGAGCCTGCACAGTGAATGCTGTGGGAAGGGGAAACAGCAAAGATCCCCAGGCCAGCTGGAGGTGATACAAACTAGGTAAAAAACAGCTTGGCATTTCTTGGGCACAGCTGCACACAGGGTTTTCACATGGGAAGTCCTGACCAAGCAAGAGGAACTTCTCTTTGAACTTCCCTCGTTGCTTAATTAAGGTTATTTGCTGAAGCTCAGAATTATGATTCATTTCAGCATCTATAAGAATCAGCTCGTTTTCCCCAGAGCAGAATTTACTGTAAAACACCTTTTAGAGAGTACTTTCATCTCTTCAATGAGTTGAACATATTTACATTTAAAACAAAACCCACATAAAGCAAAGAACTTCAGGTGAACCTGAGCCTGTTACTTGGTACCAGTGAGGATTGGGAAAACACACATTAAATGTGCTCAGTCTGTTATCTAAGATGCTCCACCTATGTAATGCCTTGCCTGACAGATTTATTTGCAATATGAATTCAAAATCTGGTGCAATTACTCACAGTTTTCAGCTGCAGGGCAGGGCAGGGTACTGTAACTATCCAGTGAACACTTGACATTTGTAAAGAAATGACATTTACATGGAAAGTAATGGCCCAGGGATGCCAAAACTGAGCTGAGATGATGGGAAGAGCTCACAAGGAGAGCAGTAGCAGTGCTGGACTGAGAGCCCCACATGGGCCATGCCCACCAAGGCTGTTTTGGTGCTCTCCTCTCCTGCTCTGACACTGGTTGCAATAGAAATAGAAGCAGAGATTCTTGGTTCTCTCCTCAGGCACAGAGCTGGCAAACAAACCTCAACTGATGGTTTGCAAAATTCACTCCTGAGAACTCTCATTTGAAATAGAAGTGTGCCCTCTCTCCCCTCCTTTTGAAATTTCATCATGAACAGGCATGTTTTAATAATCTGAAACTCACTCCAGAAGTATTTAGGAAAAGGAGAAAAAGCTGAAAAAGTTCCTAGAACTGGCTACACACAAACACTGACCCTCCAGCCACCTCCATGGAAACTCTGCCAGAATGCACAAGTCTGAACCTGCTGCAATCAAAGCCAGCTGGAGCAGCAGGAATCAGGACCAATGCAGCCTTAATGCCAGCATGGCAAATGCCCTGGCACTGCTGTGCTCCCAGCAGAGTGCTCTGAGGGTTCAGGAGGGAAGGGGGCTCAGCACAGCCCCTCACACTGCTGGGCAACCCCCTCAGGGCTGCCTGGGCTCCTCCTGCCAGCCTGGAGAACTCCATCCATCCATCCATCCATCCATCCATCCATCCATCCATCCATCATCCATCCATCCATCCATCCATCCATCCATCCATCCATCCATCCATCCATCCATCCATCTATTTCCTGCAGGAAAAACCTTGCTTTGCATTTCTGCCCTTAGCTGGCTGCAGAGCAGACACCAGGCTGGCTGCTGGAAAGGTTTTTTTTCAAGAAAAGATAATTTTGCCAAAGGGTCTCCAGCTGTGAAATCCATTCCTGTTCCGTATCCTTCATCCAGAAGACCCACAATGGGATCTGGGTTTAACCTGGATGAATTCCTGCCTTCCAAAGCTCAGCTTCATTTCCAGCTCCCCAGAGCACAGTGTTTAAGAGGACAGGTTACTCTGCACACAGACAAGGAGCAGCTCTCTGGTGAATTCCCCACTCACCATCATCATCATGTCGTGGCCCCCATGGCCTGAGGCTGTGCTGGTGGGGTGCTGGTGCTCAGGGGGATGTGAGGTTGGCAGTGTGGAGCTGTTCATGTGGTGAGACATCTTGAGCACAGAGAGATTCACAAAGGCACATAGAAAAGTGGGACCCTGAAAAACAAACAAACAATGAAGCCCTTTTCTGAACAGAATGAGGTTTCTCTACTGCTGCTGCATGAGAAAATATTGCAAAGCACTGAGAGCTGCTGCCTCTGGAAAACTCCTGGAGCTCCCTCATGGGCCTGCTCTGGCTACTGAGAGCACACAGCAGGACACTTCAGAGGAGGTTTGTCCCTCTGTAGCCTAATTTGACTGAGATGGCACCTGGGGCAAATGTTCAGCATAAAGGAACATTCCTTATCTACATGAGGAAAAAACAGAGCCCCTTCCCAAGAGCAGTCTTGCAAGAGGCAAAAACATCACAAGCACCACTTTAAATTGCATATACTAAAGGATCAGATTACAGGATTTCTCTTAATTGACAGTTAAGCATTTTATTGGGAACATGTTTAACACAGAAATTGTGTTAGTTGGAACAAGACCTACTGTCAGGCAAAGGTCTGCAACAGCTACAGGCAATCCAATTTCATTTCCATGAGCTTCACATTGCCACATCTCCCCTGTAATCACATTACCCACAGTGAGAGAAACACTCAAGAGGCTGCCAGTCCCAATCCTTAATCTGGTTACCACAAATCAGGGATGTCTGGACACACTAAAAAAAAAAAAATAAAAATACCCTCTCTGGTCACCTGTGGGCATGGCTGCTGCAGCCTGGCCCAGCACTGCCTGGGCTGGCAATTGCTGGTGGGAAATGAAAATCATCAGGTTCAAACAGGAGAGAAAATAACCTGGGAATACCAGTCAGTCCTGAAAGCACAGCATCTGTCCTACTGGAGTAAAACCAAGGGAAATAAAAAGCAAAGCCTGGACACTTTATCAAATTAAAGTTTAAAAAGAAATGAGATACAGACTTCTTTCCACATAAACCATCAGGAGAGTATACAAGTGTGGTTTTTCAGTTTTTTAAGCTAAAATGAGCATTGTGTTTGAACAGGTAGGCATGGCTATATTTAGACTGAAGAGAGGAAATGAGACTCTAGAAGAGCTTTCTGAACTGGAAGTAGCAAATAAAGCCCTGAAAGGCACCTGGTGGTGGAGCTGGCTCGGTGTGTGACAGTGACACTGTGCAGGGGCCACTGGTGGCCCAGAACAGCAGGGCCAGGGCAGCCCCATGACAGGGACATCCAAGGGCTTTGGGGTTAAACTGGAGTGAGCAATGAGAGAAATTAAAGATTTGGGGAAGGTAAGGAAACAAAGCCAGCAGTGACAGGGAGGAAGTTAAGACCGAGGTAATACCCTGCAAAGACAGAAATTAAATAATGCAGGGAAGCACCAAGAAGGGACACCAGGTACCCACAGCTCAGGTATGTTCTCCATCTCTGTGCAGAAGTTTGTAGCCCATCTCTTATTTCATCAGACAACCTCACAATACTCCCCTGGACGGTAACTTGGAATCATGGAATCCAATGGCACTGGCTAAAGCAGAATGAATTCCCTGTCCATATTTCTAATATTTTTTAGCTCACTTTGTCCCTGATTTAATATTGAGACCAGAAAAATGGCTGACACAGAAAAGCTTCACCAAGGGAATGGAATGCCCATGGAACACCAAGGCAGAATGGCCAGTGTGATTTCCACATGGCACAGCTTGGAAGATTATCCTGTTCAAGAGCTGAAATGTTCAGGCTCTAGAACTGCAGTCCCAAAACACTTGGGAAAAGAATCCTCTGCCAAAACACACAAACTTCAAATTGTCTTTTGCATCAGGGAAGGAAGAAGAATGGCCCAAGTGCTTTACCCTGAGGATCAAAGGTAAATGTGCTGGGAGAGGAAAGACGTAACACAAGAACTTCCCCTCTCCTGCAGCCAAAATCTCCTGGAATCACAGAACCTTGGAATATCCTGAGCTGAAGGGACCCACCAGGATCCCCCAGCCCAGCTCCTGTCCCTGCCCAGCCCCCCCAGCAGCCCCACCCTGGGCACCCCTGGCAGCGCTGCCCAAAGGCTCCTGGAGCTCTGGCAGCCTCGGGGCCGTGCCCATTCCCTGGGCAGCCTGGGCAGTGCCAGCACCCTCTGGGGGCAGAGCCTTGCCCTGAGCTCCAGCCTGAGCTGCCCTGGCCCAGCCCCAGCCGTGCCCTGGCTCCTGTCCCTGGCCCAGAGCAGAGTTTAGAGCTGTCCCTGTCTCCTCCCTCTTCTCTCAGTTGACTGATCCATTGCTTTTCCTTTGAATACAACATCCTCACCAGCTTCTGTCCAATGATTATTTATTCCTTTTAGCATTTCACATTCCTGCCAAGCTCAGCAGGTTCCAAAATGCTCCACAGAAGCCCTGGCTGGTTACCAGGTAAAACTGCCTTCGTGGCTGGGCTGTGTCCAGCTTTCCACTCCTTTCCTTCTCACTAATCATCATTTGTCTGCAGAAAGGGAGAAACAGTGGCTGTGTTTCAGGATATTTACTCTGGAGGAACAAAGAACATGCCCAGGTGCTCAGGAGTGGCTGCCTGTGCCTTGGTACAGTTACAAAGTGCAAGCCTGACCCTCACCCAGGTATCTCCTTCCCACTCTGCTATTACAGCGACCTGATGAGGTCGCTGGGGTGAGAGAAGGATGAGAATCTTGTTTGATGATTAGAAGGTTGGATTTATTGATATATGATATATAATACATTATAACTATACTAGAAAGAATAAGAAGAGAAGTTGCAGCGGCTGCTCAGCTAAGAATAGAATAGAAAAGAATTTAAAACAAAGTTCTGTGTCCAGGGAATCTTTCCCCGAACTTGCTCCTGTGATTGGCCCTTAATTGTACACATGGAACATGAACTAATCACAGGTGCATCCTATTGCATTCTATAGCAGCTGATAACAATTGTTTACATTCTTCTTCTGGGGTCTTTGCTTCCCAGAAGATGCACAAATCTCAAAGAAAGGATTTCTGTGAAAAAATGTCTGCGACACTCTTCCATCCCAGTGCTCCAACACCAAATCCAAGCCCTTGCTGCAGTCACCCAATGCTGAAGGACATTTTATGAGATCCTGAAAGGATGGGGTATTAAGTAGCTTAAGAGTAAATAACCTCACCTGAGTCACTGCAGCTGTGTTTTGTGTCACTGAAGGTAACTGGATAAATTTCTGTTTAAAAATAAATCAGTTCCAGTGGACAATCAGACTCTGATTTACAACTTGGGAAATCTTTATCTAAATCTCAAGGTAAAAAACAATATATAGGGCAGCAGCAGCAGCAGGTTAATGGGTGTGTGATATTCCAAGCTGCAAATCCCTGGTTGGTTTGCACAGCTCCTAAGAAACAAGCTGACAGATGTGGAGCTCTGTGCGTCACAAGAAGGTGGTGCTTTAACAAGGCTGACTCCATACCTGAACGAAAAAAATCCACCCCCCACAAGTTTCTATTATTGTAAATTCTTTAAATAGGCTTAGCCTTGGACAAAGGCAACCTTTCAGCAGGTATTTCTGCCTGACTGGGTGATTTGATCTCTGGCTGCTGCCTGCTCCATATGTTTGCCCTGAGAGGGAGAGGCACTGGAGCAGATTCCTGAGCATGGAGCCCTGGAGAGGGACCTGCCACAGCCCCTGGCTGCCCCAGGCTCAGGTACCCTGAACACCTGAAGGGGCCAGACCCCAGGGTGTGCCTACCACAAGGGACACACACACACACACAGTGATTTCTGTGCTCTGCAGTAACCTCCTGCCTAAGAAAACAAACAGGGTGGAACAGGAATGAGGAAATTCTCCTCCAGGGCTTCTTTCTTTCCCTCTCAGTGCTGTCACCCCAGGTGAGAGAAGCCACAGCCTCCATTGCACAACCCCTCAGATTCTGAGGGAAAACTGGAAGGCTCAGAGCTGCACACAGGACACTTCTCTTTCCTTAAGCAGGAGCTCAGGCAGGCCCTGCTCACCCTGAGGTTTCTGTCCCAGCCCTGCCACCGTGGCAGCTCTGCACACCAGGCTGGCTCAGCACAGGTGCAGCAGGATCTGACAGCAGCAAAATGTCAGCTCAGGACTCACCCTCACCCTCACCACAGCCAACACCAAGGCAGTGCTGCCTCACCTCACCTCACACACACAGGAGCCACAGAGAAGGGGAGGACAGGCAGGAGGTGCCAGGGCACACACAAGCAGAGGTAAAGGAGCTGGACCAGATGAGATGCCAAAGGCAGAGCAGTCCTTCAAGCAGGTCTCAGCCAAAGATCACTGCCATTCATATAACCCCCTCCACAGCTTCCCAATCTATTGCTTCTGTGTTCATCCAGAGTCCTACAAACTTCATAGCAAATCACAGTTTTTCCTGTGTAAACACCCAAGGAAAATACACCTTCCAATGTAGAAACACAGGACATGCAGAAACAGGACACACTATGGGAAGGATCTAGCAAGCTCCCAGGAAGTACTTTACAATCAGCTCAGTGTCAAACAGATCTTCCTTGAAGTCCCAAAGGGAATGAAGCCCCGTTCCAAATCAGAAATCCAACAGGATTTACACTGCAGCCCTAAATCAATGCCCATTACAGCATCAACTCTTCCCTTCTAAACACTGCCTCACCTTTCCCAAACCAGATCAGAAAACCCAAGAAATAAAATCCCACTGGCTCTGCCCAAAAGGACCAGAGCGTTAAAAATCCCCTCTGCAGTGTCCTTTGGAGCAGTTATTGTCCCACAGAGAGGGTGGGACAATGTAACATATATTATAAAATGTTTAATGTAACATATATTATAAAATAATAAATCAGCCTTCTGAAACATGGAGTCAGATCCTCATCTGCAGTGGCCAGCACATGATGGCTCCTGCTCAGAACCCTCCTGACTCCTCTCAGAACAGCTGGAGTGATTCATACCCAAAGTCTCTCCACCAACACTTCTGATAGCAAGAACAGGTCAGGAGCTCCCTCTCTTCTCCTGAACAAGTGAGAAACACTTGGCAATATTTACCAAGAATTAAAATCAAAGTTCCTGAGAGAAAGCCAAGGGAAAATTATTAAAAATAGCAAGCTGGAAAAGCAAAGACCTGTTGCTTACAGTATCCCATATGGC